GTAAAGGTAAACTGAAATATTTTACAATTTCTCTACACTTAGGATAACCTTTGATTGTTAGACTGAAGCAAACAAGTATGTCATAAGTATGAGTTTGCACCATAGCACTAGGTTGATAATATATACATCACCTTCAGTATAATAGCTAATATTTCTGCCTATATGGCTCATCATTTATCCATCTTTCATTGGAAAGTTGACAGCATAACATATGCCTTTTCCCACACTAATATCTTTCAAGTCTCCTATACTAGGAAAGTATTCCCTTTACTTATAAGATGATGCAGTAATTATATCATCTGTTGTATATAAAGCATGCTCAACACCATCAATATGATGGGTATCACTATAAATAAATAAGAATCTTATGATACTTTAGTAATTCCAAGATTTCATTAACATAACAGAATCCTGATGTTTCTGATTTCTTAATATGATATAATCTTCCAGCCCAGTGAATAGCCATTGCAGTTTGTTGTGGTTTTAACTTCACAACTGAACCACCAGGCAAGAACTGACAAAACTCAGAGTCTATCTGATAGTATACGTCCACTCCAGCGTTAAATCTCTGCATCTGCTTACTACACTTAGACATGAATATGGAAATTTGATTACTCATTACTGTGGTATTTTGTCAACTTTTTTTCAGCAGTGCCATTATGGGGGCTACATTGTAGGCCATATACTTCCATTTTCTTATAATAGCCATAATTTAGTGGCAAGTTACAAGTCCTATCGATTCTGTGAGGTTTTATGGGTTGACCTTGTCCATAATAAAATTTCCAGTATCACTATCATAGTAGTATTAGGCTTTATGCTTGCCACCTCCTTGACTATATTTTATGAACTCCTCATCCATTGATGCTGACAGGCTTTTCCATTTCCTGGGGCAAAGGTGGGGTGGCAGCTCCATGGGGAAGGACAGCCAGAAGGAGGAGAGGGCACTGGAAGGCCTCGGTGCTGCCCAGCCTTCTCTTGTTCTCCTCCATTTTATTTGTGTAGCATTTGCTTTCTGTAGCATTTTATCCTTTTATTTTTAGCTAGGCTTTTTTCTTTTCTCTAAAGCTACAGGGAGGCTTATGTAAAGGGTTGTATATTTAAAATCTATTTTAAATTGAAGACAAGATAATCTATGGCTCATTCCACCAGATCTTATTTTTTACTCTCTCCTCCCTTTTATAATTACTATTTTTGGAAATATTGCTTCTAAGTTGGGATTTCTTTGTATCAGAGACCCTTTAATACTTCATGTAAAGCTGATTTAGAGAATCTGAGTTCCTTCACCTGTTGTTCTTTTGTAAAGTCTTATCATGCCTTCAATTTTGAGTGTTATTCTACGGGGTAGAGAATTCTTGATTTGAGATTGTTTTCATTCAGAGCTTTGATTATCTCATGCCACTCCTTTTTGGCCTACAAGCCTTCTGCTGATAAATCTGCTGATAGTCTTATAGGGGTCCCCTTGCATATGACCCTTTGCTTTTCTCCTGATGCTTTTAGGATTTTCTTTTAATCTTTTATTTTTGTCATTTTAATTATAATTTATCTTGTGCATCTGTTTGAGTTGTTCTTGACTATTATTTCTTCATATAGCATTTCTGTACTTTTTTCTCCTCTCCTATGATGCAAATGTTGTTACTCGTGATACTGAGCATGTCTTTTATGTTTTCATTTTTCTTTTTGCCAAAATTTGGGGATGATTTCCACAAACTCTGTCTTCTTCCTCACTGATTCTATCCTCAATCTCATTGAGTATACTGGTTATCCTTTCTATTTTTTTTTTAATTTCAACAATTGTATTTTTTATATGTATGACTTGTCATGCAGCTTTTTCATATTTTATTTGTCATATCTTTTTCAAATTTTGTTCATTCATTGTTCTTTTAATTTGGGTAAACATCACTGAGACTGTTGCTCTGAATTCTTCTAAGGGTTTATTTAGAAATGTTGAAGAGGGGTTTGCCTTGATCCAGTGGGATGGGTTGAATTCCTCTGCTTCCCTGTTCTTTTTGCACTGTAATTATTTCTATGGGATAAACTAGACTGCTTTCCTTCAGAGACCTACTGTAACTGTCTTGGTGACAGAGTATTTGCTATAGTGTTGGCCTTGGATATTATATTTTTTATTCTCATGTTGGCTAACGTATAAGGATTGGAGCACAAGAATTGGTTTGGGGAGGACATTCATGAGTCCAGCCTTCTTTGTGTTTGCTGACAATATGTGTGTTTGGCATTTGTGCAGATTACTAAGGGCATGTCTCCTTCAACACTGTAGCCACTTGAGTGGAGGGAATGATACAGAGTTTCCAACTGATCAAGATGAGAGAAAGCCGACTTACCTACTGGTGTTGTCCCAGAAGCCCCAACCTACAGCTAATCTTTTGCCTGCAGCTTTGTTCTGAATTCTTCACATATGATGGGCATTGCCCTTCCCCTGAGGCTTAGGAACATGAGGTTGTTGGCCCCAGCCTCAGGTAAGCACTATGGATGATAGTGCTGTGTAGTGGCCAGACTATCCAGGGGCCTGCCAGGAACAAATGAGGGCCTACTTGGTGCTTTCTGGACTGCTGAATCTAGCCTCCTGTAATGTTGTTTGTCTTGTTTACCAGGGTATTCTCTTGGAGAATCTTGTATCCTCAAGCTGCACAAATGGAACTGAAGAGAAAAGTGAAAGATGCATAGAGGAGAGGCAAGTGCTTCTAGCCATTCCCAAACAACCTGGACAGCCTTGATTAGTATGCTGTGATCTCCCCATGCAGCTTATAGATTGATTGCACAAGTGGAGGCTGTAGGGAGGTCCAAGAGATCTCATGGCTCACCAAATCAGGAACAGGCAACCTGGTGGCCTTTGTTCAGCAGGCTGTACTCTCTGAAAGACTTGTTTGCACTTTGTGGCTACTGAAAGGTAAGTCAACCAGACTTGTATAAAAGCTGGCCATTAAAGCCTATTCAGGAGCCCCTTACTTAGCAGTATGTGATTTCCCCAGGAGGCTGTACTCTCTGGGTATAGAAGGGAAATATTAGGGGGTAGGCATCTATGGCTGATTCCCCGTATCAGGCACAGACAACCTAGGAACCCTTTGTTCCACAGACCATGTTCACAATGGTAGGTTATACTCAAGCTGCACACTCTAGGAACTGACAGGAAGCCAGTTGCTTGTGGAATAGGCCAGTACTTCTCACTGCTGCTGAAACCAGTTGCAAGTCATTGGGGTGCCCTTTCTTCATCAGTCTATGTTCATTTAGGTGTCTTTGAAGGAAGTTATGTCTCAAGCTACTGTCAGTCTGCCATCTTTTTCTTCTGTCCTCAGTGCTATTTGTTCTTAATTTCTCTTTCTACTATTTTGTTGTTTATATATAGAAATGCAACAAATTTTATATGTTGACTTTTTAGCCTCCAAAAAAGCTAATTTATTATTTATAATAGCTTTTTGGTAGAATCATTAGGGTTTTCTATAGTGATTTGTTATCTGCAGATAGTAGCAGTTTTACTTCTTCCTTCCCAATTTGGATATCTTTTACTTCTTTTTCTTGCTTAACTGGTCTCGTTAGGACTTTCATTACTATGTTAAATAATATTTGTGAGACTGGGTATTACCTTATTCAGATCTTAGTGGAAAAGTCTTCAAATTTTCATCATTGAATATGATGTGAGCTCTGTGATTTTTCTATGTGTTCCTTTAGAATGTTGAGGTATGGTCCATTTTTTGAGAGTTTTATAATCATAAGTGGATATTAATCTTACCTTTTTATTTTTTTCTGTATCAAGGCTTTTATAAAATTAGTAAAGTTAGAGTTAGGAGATGAGGTATCGAATTACTTTTTTGGCATGGATTACTTTTGGCAGACTTGAATTCTGCAAAAATATAAACAGTGAACTAAATTATTTAATAGCCTTTCTGGGCTGATGCTATGGAGGAGGGAAAAGTAGCTACAATTCTCACAAAGGGATTTTCTTTTTGATGTTTAGAAAAATCTTCAGTGTTTTTTTCTACTACCCTTCTTAAGTTTCTCTTTATTCATTTGCATAAAATAATTAAGTACAAGTGTTTTCCTACCAGGGAGGGAGGGCATTTTCTTTATGGCTTTTTGTTATCAATGATTTCAACACAAATTTATTCCTCTATTAGTCTCCATTGTCTTTGAAAGAAGGATCTAGTAGTTCCTGTTTCTTGATCCTGGTTTGACTTGGCTAATAGCCATTCAGTTAATTATGGTGCTATTCCTGGTTGAGCTTATAATCTTTCTGCTTCCTGAAGATGACTGTGTGGGACAGTGTTTAGTTGGAGAAAGACATGATTGAAAAATTCTTTCTTCTCTAGATTCTTTGTTACATTTACATGGTGCATAACTATCATTTGGACATATCACTGGTGTTTACAGAAGAAAAAATGTATAATTTGGGCTCTGAGGAAATGTCTTTAGGCCCCATGAGAAATAAGCATAGAAGAGACAGTATAATAAATAATCATTTTTTATTGTTCATTTGATCATTTATTTCACTCAGTATACATTTTAAAGTTCTATAAATCCAAGGTGATTTTAATAAATACAGATTAATACAGAAATCCCATAGAAGGATAATAGAGGCATATGTACAGTCCTGATATTAATACACCAGTTTTGGCTCTAGAACGGTGACAATATGTATGTGATTATATAGTTTTGACTTCTATGATATTTTTATGAAGATTAGTGTACCAGTCTGAAGAGATATGAAATATATTCTCAGAAAAATCTTTACTGCATTCTAATCTTAGAACTTTGAATTTTTAAAATTTAGCTGCAAATTAGTCTTTTCAACACCCTTTTCTTTCTATAAGTTCAGGCTCATTAGAAAATAAACAAGACTATCACAAAAGAAATAATAAAAGTTATTTTTAAAAGTATGATAGGAAATATAGCTGCTTGGAAATATGAATAGTTTTTAAATTCCAAGTGGTGTATTGATCATTATTTTAGTCTGTGAGTTATTTGCTTTCCTACTGGTTTCTCCCTCAAAATAATATTATCTTCATGAATGACAAAACTCACACCCTTTTGAATTACTGTTAGAACATAAGCATCCAATGCTATAAGAAGAATGCATAGGATAAATTGTTCTGTGTTCTCTTGAGCTGGTGCTGGAGCATCTAAGGTCTTACTCCAACTGGCTATGTAAGTGTTTTGATTGTCCTTCATTGTCACTGAACTGACTGATAATGGATCCCTCATGTTTACTCTTTCTGGGCCCAGATGAAATTGGTCCATGTTCAGTTTCTGAATGTCTTGAGGTGTCCCCATGGTCATGCCCTTGTCTTTCTTTAGTGCTGGATCCTGACTGTCTGTGGGCAGAATCTGGCTGGCAGTGTGGGGCTGTCTGCCCTTGGTGTGACATTGAGTATTTGGAAGTATCTTCAGAATGGCCATGAGTAGACTTAAGTTGGTTTCTTGAACTGGACCTGGACTTTCCATGTGTCATGGAGGATTGTCTCCCTGAATCTTCTAAATGTCCTTTGCTATTGCTGGTCTGACTAGTACTGGATTCTCGATGTCTGTTTTTACTGGATCTTGAGGATGTCTGACCATAATCCAATTCATCCTCATATTCTGTGTTTCTCTTTGTGGGGCTTATGCTTGTCTTGTGTCTTCTTTCTTGTACTTCACTGGAACTTGACTTTCCTTTCTTTTTTCCACACAAATCATGAAGCTGTTCCTCAAATCCATGTTTGTGTCTGCAAGTGGATTTATCACGTTTCCCTCCTTCACTGGAACTATGGTCTTTTTTCCCTTTTATATTTGGGCTCTTGGATCTGGCCTTCTTTCCTTTTCCTTTACTCCTTGAGAGACTTGATTTTCTATTGTGTTTGTCATTTTCTTCTTCCTGTATTTCTTCTTCTGTGTCATCTTCTTCATTTTTATGATGGTGTCTATACTTTCCCCCTGATGCTTGGATGTTCTTTCTCCTGTTAGAAGCATAGTATGCTTGAGCTAACCTGAATAACATCAGAAAAAACTCTGTAAAGTCTATTTGTTTGTTGTGGTCTATATCAAGGATTTGCATGAAGACTTCAGCAGTTTCTGGGTCATCTGGATGCTGTACATAAGGAAGACAGAGAGGGAGCGTGTGTGAGCTACACACATGGTCAAATAATTCAAAATTCATTTAGGGAATTTTTGTGACTTCAGAGTTCTTCAAAGTATCTTCTAAAGATGTATTTTATTTATTTATACATACAAGAACTGGTGTGTAGGCCAGAGGTGCAGGGGGTTGAGAGTATTCACCAGATATAAAGTGGGGAGCATAATAGGTGGATCTACTGAGATACACAGCTTAGGGAAGCAGCGGCAAGACAGGAAGGTCTGCTGCACCATGTGGACTAGCTCCCTGATGATCTCATGCTGCAGTGGCTGGCAAGAGCTTGATAGTGTTGAGACTTGAACTTTCAAACTATCTTTTATCCTTTCCTAACATGTAGTTTATTCTGGCTCAGCAGAATAATAATTCTTAAATTCTATATGGTGACACACAAGAAGTTTTAATAGGTCAAGTGCATGTTTTCCTACTTTATGTGGTATATTATTTTATAAAATCCATAGTTGAATGTCTTTTAAGTATGCCTTCTTAACATTTACTTGTTAAGAAACATATTAGGAAAAACTAGCTATGTTTGTCACTTTTTTTAAATCACTATCTACATTATTTTTCCCTCAGAGAATGTGTGTGTGTGTGCACATGCACATGCACGTATGTAGAATAGCTACAAAAGCACACTGTGAAGAAAAAAAATTGTGTGGCTTTAAAATAATATGGTTATTTCAATTCCAGAAGGTATATTTCACATTTTATAATAATTCTTTTATTAAAATATTGATACAAGACAGAAATGCTTTACCCATTAGTCCTAGTTAAATACTTTTTACCTTCAAGATTGGATGAAACTCTGTTTGCAGAAGTTCTGTCAACTCTGTTTTGCTCAGTGTTTCAGTCTCCTGATCTGTTTTTGAATATTGGTGGAATAGGTCAATGATAGCAATGATGTTTTCTAGGAGAGTAGGCATTTTTTATTTTTTTGGAAATAGGGAATCTAGAAAAAAGAAAAAATATATACTGTCATTGATTTTTTTTGGAAATCATATTAATTTTTACAATCAGTTTCAGTGTTTTTGGAATCCGCATCTCCTACATATAGCCAATTAAAAAAAAGATTTATTTATTTATGCATACAGAACTGGAGTATAAGCCAGAGGTGCAGGAGCAGTGAGAGGATTCACCAGAGGCAGAGTGGGGAGCAGAACAGACAGATCGACAAAGTACACTGCTGAGGGGAACAGTGGGGCGGGTCAGGAGAGGTCTGCCACAGGGTGTGGGTCACCTCCCTGGCAGGGGATCAAACTCGAGCTACAATGGCTGCAGATTGTGTCATAGTTCTGTGTTTTAACCAGTTGTGCCACCAGGGAGGGCCTCATATATAGCCTGTTTTTAACAATGGAAGATGATCATAAAAATTTCTCTCTACTATCTACATAGTGAAATATAGAGTGACGGAATAACTAGAACTGCTGAGATCCTGTCCTAGGAGCCATTCATGTCAGGATGTAGAAAGCAGCATAATTTAGTCATTCAATTTACTGAAAATCAGGTTTCTAAAAAGTAGCTTCCTAAGTGATTAATGTGTTGAGAGATCATTTCTGAAAGTTAAGTTTTTAAATGGCTGCTGATACACTCTACCATTTACTCAGTTTACTCCCTACCTCAACATTTTGTGAAGTTTTCATTGTTTCTAATTGGATAGATTGACTTTATTATCTTTTTGGTATTATAATTTTTTTTGTTGATTTTTATTTAGCTGCTTAAGGAATAACATTTAAGCAATGTTCACCTTATCTCATGATTCAAAAAAGAAATTACTAAGCTTGTCAATGAATCTCAATAAGCATTTACTGTATAAAAGCATAATAACTTTATGGGGTTATAAAACCAGGCAAAACTAAATTTGGAAGACATGATTATGGTATTAGAGGTAAAACACTTATGGATCTTGGTTTGCTTGGTAGAGGAAATAGATATTGATTCATTTTTGACATAGTTAAACATGTATAATATCTTAAGTCATTAGAGTGGAAATGGGGAGTAAGAAAAATGCCATCAATTTTAGAAGCTAGAAAATAAGTAAATAAAGAAGCATAGAAAAGGCAGCAGAAACAAAAATACAAGAGTAGAAATATACAAATTTTATCATTTACATCAGAATTGCTAAATAATCAATTTTAAGGATTGAATTTAAAAGAATTGTGTTCGTTTTAATTTCCCTTTTATAGCAACTTTAATTTCATTTACCCCAAATCCCTGAATTTTAGAGTTTTTCAACTACTTTATTTATGGTCATAGTCCAGACCTTAGATTTATTTTGCACCATCTTCAAAAATTCAATTTAAAGCATTCCACTCTCTGACCTCTTCTTGTACCTCAACTTCAGTAATTACTAGACCTCACTGTCAATCTACTGATTTATTTGTTCACATTTTTAACTTGGTTAGATGTTGTAGTTAACCTCTATCCTGCTCTTGCATATATCCTGTACTCACTGGCAAAACCTCCATCAGCTTCTTCTTTTCCTTCATCCCAAAATGTATCCTTGAGTTTCATTTCACTAAATTGGAAGTCATTGGAAAATAATTTCTTCACGTTCCTACTATCTGATCTCCAGCCTACTGCATCTGTATGCCTGTACCGTAACCTTCACGTCTGTTCCAATAAATAACTACCTGTTCTTCCAGTTTCAGCAGTGGGCCCCCACTTTCCTTTACCTACTCAAACACTTTGACTTTGCAGTTTCCACTTTGTCTCCTGCATCATGAATTTCTCTTTTTCTATTGGATCATTCCCTTCAGCATATTTTCACACTGCAATGTTTTCTATTTATCACCCTCTCCACTATCCCTCATCTCCCTTTAGGCATCATCTGATTTATCTTTTTTATAGCAAAACCACTAAAAAGTTATGCTGGTAATCTTTTTAAAAGATTTTGTAAAAATAAAAAAAATGACCAAAACTTTCCTGAAGCTAAAAAAAATCCTCCCATCTCACATATTGTTTAAAGTATTAACAGTATCTGCTATAGCTGGCTCTATCTTCCTTCATAGACTCCACACTCCCATGTTTTCTTCGAACTCCCTGTCCATTTTCTCCTAGTTTCTCCATTTCCAAATATTGATGTTCCCTGAGACTCATTTATTCACATTATTTCCTCTGTCTATACTCCCTTGAGGGATCTTATCTAGTCCTAATATTTAAAATCCTTTGTATAGGTTAACAACCGGCAAGAGTGTATTTCCAGGCACAGAATCTCCACTAAGCTTTAAGTGCCTACTCAATGTTTGTACTAGCCCTAATAGAGATTTTAAATCCAATATGTTATCAGTGATATCTTGATTTCTGATTAAATCCTTACTACACTCTTCTATTCTGTTAGAAAGTCTTTCTCACTGTTGCTCAAACCACAAACCTAGAAATTAGTCTTGTTTTTCCTTTCCTCACATTCATATCTAATACATTAACATGTTTTATTGACTCTACTTTCAAAATGTCTCTAAAACTGGTTACTTTCCATTGCCTCCATAATATTGCTGCCCTATAATTTGAGTGTAACAAAAACACACTGGAGTATATCCCACTTAAAAACCTTCCCTTGAAACAACATTCCTCCCTCTACCAGGATATTCCCCTCCAGAGTTAACTAAACTCCCTTTTACAGCAAAATTTCTTCACTTTTCTTGCACATTATCACAAAATGTTTACTAACCTCTTTCTTTATAACCCAGATTCTTCAATAGTGTCTCTCAAAACTCTGTTGAAACTGAGTTATGTCAAATCACCTATGATCTCTAAGTTGCTGAATATAGTGGCTTTTTCTTCATCATCATCATCTTACTGAACTTCTTGGTAGAGTTTAAGTAGAGTTATCCCTTCCTTCTTTCACAGATTTTTTTCTTTTGTATCTCGTCACATTTTCCTGCTACTTCTTCTAAATATTGGCTGTTTTTTTTAGAAGAGTCTTTGCCTAGTTTCAAAAGTTTGGAAATTACCATGGTTGTGGTCTTGTTCTCACTCTCTCTTTTTATCTACTCCCTTTTCCTAAGCAATCTCATTGGATCCATGAACTTCACTTATCTGGTAGCTCTCATATTAAAACATTGTTCATGGAATGTTGCTTGAGTTCTACATTACTCATTCACGTAACATTTTGTTTAATAAGTATTGAACATAGGTCACTTTGTTAGGTACTATTTTGTGCTTTGGTAATACAGTAGTGAACTAGGTAGAAAAAGACTACAATTATGAAGACAATAAGCAAATAAATACATGAAACAATTACATATTGAGAAGTGAAATACATACCACTAAAATTATAGTGGGACTCCATAGGGTTTACGGGGACTTTTGATTGATCAAATAAGGTTTTGTAGTAAAGGGACCATTAGGGCTATAAAATGGAAAGATAAGGAACATCCTTTGCTTGGTTGAAATATTTTAGGCAAATGGAACATGCAAAGATTCCAGCATGAGAGTCATCTTGGTATGTTAGCAGTATAAAAAGGTAGTGACTCTAGAATGTTGTGGACAAATCTGAAGTGATACATTAATCAGAGACAGTGATTGGATAATGATGACCATCTAACTAGAGTAACATTAATGAATTTTATTCTATATGTGATGGAGAAGTTACAAAATGAAGTTTTGGTAAGAAAGTGATCTGATCTTTAAAACATTACCTAATGCAGTGGCTTTCTAGTTTGTTTCAGATTGGCTTTCCTTCGTGAACAGTTAGAAAGCTGGTGTGTGTGTGTGTTAAAATATCAGATTATTGTCAATAATCAAATTGAGGCCTCCATTAAGATTGAAAGGAAAATTAAATTTGGAATTAAAAAGGAATTAAATTTGGTTTTCCAAAACTGATAAAAAATTTCAAAACATATATTAAAGAGTATGATAAACTCTAAGCAGATAATATAAAATGAAGCTATATCTGACTGCTAAACACTTGAGGCACTGAAAATCCTAAAATCAGTCAGAGGAGCAATGATAAATCATATAGTCTGCTTTTCAAGAAGCAATGGAAGCTAGAAGAGAATTAAATGTTGTCTTTATCTTTCTGGAGGAAATATATATTATCCTAAAATTTGATATTTTGTGAAAGTATCCATTAGCAATAAACCATAAGATGAAGCAAACAAAAATAAAGTCAATTACCAGAAGACCTGCTATGAAGTAAATACTGAAGTTGGAAGCAGAGTGACAGGAAAGAATGAAGAAAAATTAAATGAGTAAATATGTGGGGAAATTTAGGTAAATATTGATTGATAAAAAATGATAACAGCATTAATAATAATAACTATTATTACATTTGATGGGATTTAAGATAGTTATAATTAAAATAACAACACCAGATGATGGTGAAGGAGTAAATGGAGTATTAGTATTATAGGATGCTTAAATTATTTAACTGAGGTATTTTTAAAAATTGTACTCTAATAAATCAGGGATACATGTTAGAATCTCTAGAGTAAGTGTGAAATTAATCATAAAATAATGTTTAGTTAATAAACTAATATGAGGAAAATTAACTGAAAATATTTAATTTACCAAAAGGGAAAAACAAAGAGAGAAAAAGAAGTATAGGACAATGGAGGAATAGGAGCCAAATAGTAATAGCATATATTACAAACAAATAATACAGCAGTGATAGTGAATAAATTGACTAACTACACTAACTTAAAAACAAAGACTGTTAAATTGAATTAAAAAAAATGATGTTTACAAGAGACACATTACCTGTGATAACAATGGCTGAAGTGAAAGGATATAAAAAAGATATACTACTCAAACACTAAAGGAAAGCTGTTGTTGCTTTATTAATATTCATTGAGAAGACTTTAAATCAAAAATTTTTCTAGATGAATACTTCATAGAAATAAAAAATTAGCTCACAAAGAAGACATAAAAATGTAGATGAATAACTACCTCAAAATGTAAAACACAAAATTTGACAAAACTATAAAGAGAAGTAGGTGAATCTATAATTTTAGTGGGTAATGTACTTCTTTCAGCAACATTTAGAACAGACAGAAATTTTAAGATAGACTTTCCACAAAATTATTGATAAAAAGTTACATGCTAAAAAGTTACATGCTGAAAAACATACCTAACAACTCTAGAATATGCATTCTTTTGAAGTGAAGATGAAATGTTCTAAAATTTTCTATATGTTGATCAAAAATCAAGTTTCAATAAATGTTAAATGTTTGAATTCATGAAGAATTTGTTTTCTATAGTGGAAAGAAGCTAGAATTCAATAATGGAGAGCTAGAGAAGTAACATCTAAATTATCAATTTGTTGGAGAATAAACTGTCAAAAAAATAGAAAGTATTTTGAACCAATGAACGTGAGAAAGATATGAAAAATAGAGCTTGTGGATAAATAAGTTCCATGAGCAGGGAAAGGCAATAGCTAATATTAATTAAATAGAAACAAATTTAGAGGAACAACAAAACCAAGAGTTTTTAAAAATCTAAGAAAATTGATAATTCTTGAAATACTAATCAACAAAAGAAGAGCAAATTCATGAGTAACAAGTACTAGGGAAATAACAGTTGACATTACTATAGATTGTACAGCATTAGAAATATGAGTTGACTCTCCCTGGTGGCACAGCACCAAGCACAGCACCAAGAAGCTACAACAATTTCATCATGAGTTCAGTCCTTGCCCCGGAGGTGACCCACATGGCACGGCAGACCTCTCCTGACCCGCCTGCTGCTCCCCTCAGCAGTGAACTTCATCAGTTTGCCTGTTCTGCTCTCCACTCTGTCTCTGATGAATCCTCTCACCGACCCTGCACCTCTCCCTCTGGTCTGTACTCCAGTTCTGTATGCATAAGTAAATAAATCTCTTTTAAAAAAGAAAGAAATATGAGTATTTTATAAGAAAATATTTTACCAATTTAAAACTTTAATGAAATGGACACATTTCTGTATATCTAATCTAAACATATATATATATATCTAATCTAAAATTAATTGACAAAAGATACAAAAACCCTAAGTAGTCCTGTGTTTATGTAAGAAATTGAATATTTAATAAATACATTTCTGTTGATGGAGGGAGGACTCTAGTCATATGACTTTACTGATGAATTTTGTTTTTAATGTAGAAGAAAGAAATAACCCTAACATCATACAGAGTATTCAGAGAAATGACAAAGGGTAACCCTTTGTATAAAATCAGCATAACCTCATACAGTAACACGACAAGGACATTATAATGAGCAAATAGCAATAATATAAAAGGATATAGCAAATATAGTAAACTGAATCAAGTGTTAGTTAATATGAAAATACATCCGTAAGTTTTGTTCTGAAAAATTTAAGTTTGGTTGAACATTTGAGAACTTATCTAAAATTAATAACTCCAATAGAGTCTAAAAGGTCATATAAATGGTATAAAGTCCACATTACTTTTATCTATATATGAGATAATCAGTTATAGCTGTTAAGTTTTTACAGAAAAGCATTATGTGTGTGTATCAATGTGAAGTGTTAAAAACTGTCATCTCTGACTTTGGGAATGATACTAAAATATGTGGTATCATTTTATTCAGTATTGTTCTAAAGGTTCTATAACTCCTGTGGGTCAATATAAAGAATATAGACAGCTGAATAGACAAAGGGGTAGAGATCACAGGATATTTACAAAAAAGATACCAGAATGGTTAATAAACATGCCAAAAGTTGTCAGTCTGATGAGCCAACAGGGAAATGCAAATTAAAATTACTGTGTGAAACCACAGTACTCCCACTAAAATGATGAAAAACAAAAAGGAGACAAAAGCTAGAATGCTAGAAACTTGATGACCCCAAATATTGGTAGAGATATAGAGAAATTATCTCTTATGTGTTGCTAGAAGAGCATAAACTGGCAGAAATAGTCTCTAAACTTGATTGGGGGTACCTAAGAAACATCAGTTTACTTCTAGGAATATTTCCATAGAAATATGTATGTATATGTTACCAAAAACCATGCAAAAGTGTTCACATCTCTATTATGAAAAAAAACAAAAACAAAAACAAAAACTCCACAAATAGTACAATCCCAGCATTCATATGTAGGAAAATGAATAACAAGTTGTGTTTGATATCATAGGTAGAAGTCTAATTTGATAAAGAGTGTAATGGTGGAGAGGAAGACTAGTGGATGTGGCTTCTCTTGTAGGCAGAGTTGACTGGACTTGGTGATGAATCCTCATGGTGTGAGGGAAAGACAAGGATCATGGATAACTTCCAGATTTTTGAGCAGAGTTGCTTTTCACATCTGTCACTCCCATCCCCTTTCATCTGAACTGCAGTTTACCTTCTTGCTTCCACTCTTGCCTCCTAGCATCCTGCTTTCCGCATTGCAACCCAAAACAACTTTGGGAAAACATTCATTCAGTTATATCACTCATCTTGCTTACTACTCTCCAGTGATTTTTTTATGAGCTTAATATAATGTACATGAACTATGCCCCTCTAGTCCTCTGATAGCACCCTATGCCACTGTTCCTCCTGTTAAATATACTGTAAGCACACTAACTTCATTTTGCTCTTTGAAACACATTTATGCTGCTTTAGAGTTTTGCCATTGCCTCTTCTGGTTTCTTTTGACCCTAAGCTCTCAGTCAAAAGGCACTTCACAGAGTGGTCATATTATGTGCCCTCAC